GGATGTGTATGCTGTAGAAGCTGGTACCAGGCTGTCATGTCTTGCTAAGGAACCCACAGAGCCCCATTTTGCTACTCTACACCTCTCCAGAAGGGGAACATCACAGAGTGAAGCTACCAACATAGCCTGGGCTCTGGTCAAGTAGGATCTCACACCTTGTGGGGGGAGAGGTTGCAGCAGGATGTAGCCTGAGTTCCATTTAGAGAGTCTCTGTGAAGAGATTGTGATTCCTCTTATGCATTCAGAAGAGACAAATAATTTGGGAGAGTTCCTGAAGGGTTTTGTCCTTTGCAGGTAGAATGCTGAAGTTCAATGGCCCTCCAAAGAGTGGAGTTTCCTGTCAGTCCTGGTGGCATGGGTTTTTGGATAGAAGACGGGCAGGTGGATGACCTGGTTCAGATGCCATTCTGAGATTACCTTCGGAATAAATTTAGGGTGTAACCTCAAGGAAACTTTATCCTTGTGGGAGACTGCACAGCAAGGGTCCACCATGAGACCTACTCTTCTGGCTAAGGTGATTACAACCAGAAAGGCAACTTTCACAGATAGAGGAGCAAAGGAGCATGAGGTTAACAGCCTGAATGGAGGGTTTTTAATACAGAAAGAACTAGATTGAGATCCCATGATGGCATAGATTTCAGCACCGGAGGTAAGGTTCTGCCAGATCCCTTCCGAAAACACTCAGTAGTAGGATGGGTGAAGACTAGAGGGTGAAAGGCACTAATAGCTGCCAAGAAGCTAAAAGATAACCCTGAAATTCTAAGAGATAGGAGGTAGTCCAGAATAGTAGGGATTTCAGAACCATTCAGTGAGTCTGACACCAGATAGAAAATCTTTTCCATTTTGCTGTATCACATTTTCTTGTGAAGTCTTTTCTCTTATTGCTTCTGCGCAAGACCTCTTAGTTTCATCATCCATCCAAACACCAAGCTATTAGCTGGAGAGATGCTGGGTTGGGATGGAGGAGAGATGATAGAGTAAGGTTGGAAAGCAGGACCAACTAAATCATCCCAGCCAGGGCTTTGTCAAGCCAGGCCTTTGAATCTCCATCCTTAGAGGTTTTTACCACCTCCCTAGGTAACCCATTCAAGTGCTTCACCACCCTCCTAGTGAAATAGTTTTTCCTAATAGCCAACCTAGACCTCCCCCACTGCAACCTGAGACCATTGCTCCTCGTTCTGTCATCTGCTACCCCTGAGAACAGCCTAGTTCCATCTAGATTGAGAGAGACCCATCACTCAGGGGACTAGATGACAAGAGGGAAAGTGACCAGTACTGGGCAAGTTATTGCCAAACAATTCCCAGTAGTTACATAATAAAGTACAGCCTAGCACCTTGTGTGTCTTCCTGCAGTGTCTGGAACAAAGGGTAAATGGGATGACTCAGGTAACCACAGGCTGATTAACTTGACATTGATATCAGATAAAACCATGGCAAGGGTAACACGGACACAATCAGTAAAGAATTAAAGGATGGTAGCACCCTTGATACCACTCATCATTTAATGGAAAATAGGTCTTCTGAAACTCATGTGGGGTTTTTTTGTTTATTAGATTACAAGTTTGGTTGACAAAGTGCATTAACATAATAGACTTCTGTAAGACATTTGACTTATTACCTATTGACTTTGTATAGTGCTAAGTGGTCTAGCTGATAGCTTGCAAATCATCAAATGGGAATCTTCATCTCATTAGGGTGCTTTTAGTGGGGTCTCCACAGTGATCTGTTCTTGGCCCAATGGTATTCAAGATCTCTATCAGTGATCTGGAAGAAAATAGCAAAGCATTGCTGATAAAATTGGGGGAGTGGAAAATAATCATAAGGTCAAGGCAATTCTGCAGAGTGATCTGGATCACATGGTAAGCTGGGGCTTACTTGAAGAACATGTGATTGTAATACAATTAAATGTAAGGTCATACTTATAGGAAGGGAGGCTCTATTTTGGATGTCGAACTCAGAGAAGGACTTAACGAGGACATAGTTGATAAACAGCTGAACATTAACACAGTGTGATGTGATGGCTAAGAAAGCAAATGCAATCCTTGCATGTATAAATAGAGAAATATCAAGCAGAAGTAGGAGGGTGTTATCACTGATGCCATTACTGCAATACTGTATCCAGTTATGTCCACACTTTAAAAAGGATTTTAACAAATTGGAGTATTCAGAAAAGAGATACAAGAATGACTGGAGCTTTGTAAACCTACCTTACAGGAAGAGTAAAAAAACGCAATCTATTTGGTTTAATAAAAAAAGGTTCAGAACTGACTTGGTGTTAGTCTATAAAGTAGTTACATAGTGTCAAGATTTCTGATACCGGACACTGAAGATAGACAAATTCAGGCTAGCAATAAGACGCAGTTTTAAAATCCAGGTTGGATGTCTTTTTAAAAGAAATGATTTAGCTCACCCTGAAGTTATGGGCTTGATGCAGAACCACTTATTGAAATTCTCTGGCCTGTGTTAGGCAGAAGGTCAAACTGGATGGTCATAATGCTCTCTTTTGGTCTTAAAATCTAGTAACCTGATGGATGGCCTTTGAGTGTATTCTTCATTTTAAATTATTAGCCAAAAATTGTGTTAAAATACTCAAGACTGTGGATTATGTGCAAATTGTTCACTCCAACTAGACAGCATTAATCTGTGTTTTTGATCAGCTAAGTAACATGGTACTGGTTTTATTTACCCCCTAATTGAAAGGAGAGCAATGTTTGGAACATGTTTGGATGAATAATCATTTGTGCTAAACTTAATGAAACATTTGAGATTCATTAACATTTTAAAATGCCCAGCAGCTATCCAAATAAATAGTCAGACAGCCTTACTCCAGGCATATGAGATCACTTTCACCATTCAACTAGTTGTACTACTACAGAGCATGGACAGAATATTCTCCTTTTGATAACTCCCTTTAATGCTAAGGGCCATATTCCTTTATGTACTGAGGAGCAGAAGAGGGAAAGTACAAGGCTTAGGTATCACTCAAGCCCTCCTCTATGTGTGGAGGGAAGTGCCTTTTTCTAAAAGGAGTTAGGGATGACTACATGACTCTCAAATGGAAAATTCATGAGTTGGTCATGCCATCTTTAACTCACCTACAGAAAGGCATATTCAAGGAGCATAAATGTATTTTTCCTTTTATAGCAGACTTTGCTAAGTATTTTTTTATTAAAAGAGCACAAGATCAAGGTTTTTTTGTTTTATATTTACTAAAAGGTTCTCACTGATTTATAATCATCTCTTTGAAAGCAACTGTTTTCCTTTTAAACTCTTTCCTCATATGCACATATTTCTTACTTTAAAATGACTGCTGGTCAGTTTGTATATACTCAAAAAACTGATTTTTTTTCTTCTCAGAGGAAATGTTAGGACATTTTTCATTCAGAATATGGAACTCTATAAAATGAAATAAATACAAAAATGTTAAGTCAAATGTTGGGCCGATCACACTCACGTTTCCTGGTATCAGATTATTTGGTTAGCAAGTGGTGTCTAATCTAACTCAACTGTTGAGTTAATTGTTGCTGATATTTAAAATGTTGATAAGCTGCCAGTTACCATTCTCTGTCATTTTGATACAGAACTACAGTTCAAATGTATGTTTTTATATACAGCACCAAATTGTCTACATGTGCTTGTGTCTAATACTTTGGAAATTCCAAAGTCCACAGTGGTGTAATCACAAAGCTTCTGCGATAGACAAAGAATTGTTAGTAGTGAAAGAACATACATATCAGCTACATTCAAATGATTATTTTATTACCATATATTATGTTTTACAAACATTACTGAAGGTCAGTAAGAACACTACAAAAACATACCCTAACCCAAGAAACGTATTGCATGGCATGTGCAGGCATAGCGAATCAGAAATAAGAACTTAAAGCAAAACAAGCCAAGAAAACTGGTACAAAAAATGGATAGTAATACTGATTAACAATGGGTTATATCTTACTCATAACAAAACTGGAGGGCTAATGAAAAAATTCAAAAATTCCTGTGCACTTTTGAAGTAGTTTGGTGTAGATTCAAAATACACAGTCATAATCATGGGTTTGTTGTAGGCATAGCTACAGAAAATAAACTGATATTATGTATATCACAAAACTAATGTTTATAATAAGGCAGTACACTAGTACTGCTGCTTCCTTGGCACTTAGTGGTAGAACAACAAGTTTTTGGTTTAGCTAGACTGATCAGATACATTTTTATTTATACTGATGTAAAAATGTACATTACCCCTTTGAATGTTTGTTTTTACAGAATTTATAACAGATTGTCAAATTCACACTCTTAAAAGTGATACACTAACTAGAAATGCAAGCCATTCTAGAAATTGATTAAAACTTACCTTAAATTAAAAATTTAAATGTTAAAATGTAAATCCAGATGCTATTAAATCAAAACTTTTTGTTTTCAGTGTGAGATATCACTAAGTTTGAAACATTAAAAAAATTAATTTCATGTCCCAAGCTAATTTCTTTTTAGGGCTTTCCTGAATAATGTAGAGTATTAATACAAGATATTTCCCTGACATCCATTTCTCCCTTGGTAACTTTATTTAAAGGAACTGGTAACGTCATGCATCTGAAATTCTACAACTGAATTTGATATTCTGTCTAGCAGATCATATTACACTATAGAAGGAAATTAGTTTTACTCATGGAGAGTGTGTTTCAAAGAAGAAATCAAAGAAATGGGATGAAAATCTAATGCACAATATTTAGCTTTGTAGTTATTTCAGTGCAGATTGCACAAATAGTGGAATGAAACCTTTCCCATCGCATTTTCAACAATTTTGCAAAATAGTCTCTCCTCAAGTTAAAAAACTCCAGTTGTCCTTGTATTAAACAATATGAACACCAACCAGGAGGATGTTGGTTTATTTTTGTTTCCTTTTTAACAAACTGTCTACACTGTAATTTATATTATACATAACAAATGTAAACATTTCATCTTTATATATATGATGTAACACTTTAAAATTAACTGGTTTAAAATATTTTACAAAGACATTTTATTACATATGAACTATACAGCACACAAGAGTATGCAATAATTTGAACATATACATGTTTCTGTATTTTTCCATTATGCTACTATTTTGCACCAAACATTGGTGTCTACAATTCTAACAGTTCTTTCAAATAAAAAAAACCCAAAGCAATATTTTTAGCTTTTCTGAAAACAAATATATAAAAATCCTTTTCATTACAAGGATAATCTCTCTGAACTTGAACTAATTTTTTTTTTCATTTTTTATTTTGCACATAGATCTTTTCAAGTGGGTTCACAAACAAAAAAAAGATCACTTCTTTTCCTTTAGAGTGCAATTTATCAGGGATAACATTTAATAATAGCAGACCCTCTCTTCCCTCCTGCAATGTTAAAAACTGCAGCCAATCGAACTTTGACTATCAGTGAAGAAATTTTTTACAAAAGTAAACCTCAATACCATTTACCATTGAGACAGCTCTTCCCCCATCATTTAAAAGTTAACCCTTTTCAATATCCATTTTAGTGAAAGTATTTGCATAGAGCAGCCTTGTACTTTTATTTCTGAAGAACATTACAAGTGTTTTAACACAAGATAAGGCACATGTTTTTCAGCACTGAAATCTGAAACTAATCTGGAGGAATCCTCCCCCCTGCAAAATCTCTGTTGTTTTTACCCTGTTTTACCTGAAGCAAGCAGACATGAAGTACAGAATAACAAAAAGCTTTTACTTGAACTATGTGTAAAACATTTACATCTCCAGATAAGTGTTACAACTCTGCAGACTCAGAATTGAGTCTAATTCGAAACAGCCATTGCTAAAAACTTTATAGAAAAAAGAAAGCCAATATCACTGTATATGTTAGTTAAAAGTTCACACAATGTCGATGACTAATTTATGGTGAATGTTTTCTAAAACAAGCTTCCTTTCAGAAATAAGGTAGCTAAATTGTGAGGCACTTAAGATTGACAGTAAAGGAGGAATGCAATGGATTTGTTTATATAAAACCTAAAATTGTATATCGAATCCTTGTTTTAATCCATCGATTAAAGTGCTAGAACTGGAAATTAAAACAAAAGGAGCTAATAACAAATAATTAATTGAAGGAAAGACCTTAGTATACAGTAAAAAATAAGTGCTTTTGATGCTCTTAATTTTAGATCATTCTTTTTAAATTTTAATTTAAAAATAAAATAAAATCTGGCAATAATCCAAGAGTGAAAACATCGTCCCCTTTGTGCCATTACAAGTAAGGTTGTCAAAGTGCCCATTTATTTTCTAAATAAAACCATTTGCCTTATCTTATGTTCTACAACGTGATGAATGTAGTACATAATCCATATTGCAGCAACAACACATTTTCAATCTGACTGACAGCGCATGCACACTTTCAGTCAAAGTATAGTTCCTATTCCCACCCAAAAAAAGTCAGGTTTTGGATTACATATCCTATTGGTATATAGTGCAACTAGCCTCAACTTATCAAAATGTACTCGGGGCTTTAAAGCCCAGTGTCCATAGCCTTATCAAGCGCTCCTTCACAGGCCAAAGTGATATCCATCAAAAACCAGAGATGGTATATTGGCTCTGAATTACATAAATCCACTGGATGCCAAATCTGAGAAAGGTCTGGATTCTGTCGGATGATGAAGAGGCTGAAGGTGCGTGGCAGACTGTGTGTTACTGATGACATCTAACTGAGAGGGATATGCTTCATTTAAGCTTATTCCACCGAAACCATTTTGGAACTGGAAAAAAAAAAATTACAGGGGTTACTGACTGCTTTCTTTAAAAACTTCAAAAGCATTTAGTGAAATGCACAGGTAAGATTAGAGATTCCTAATCCTAAAATAGACAGGGACTCTTTCTGCATTCTCTGGCTAAGCTTCTGGTGGTGTTTACCCCTCCCCCCCACTCCGATTGTGGAAGAAATTCTTTGTCTATAGGGAGCAGAAACTAGTCATGATCAGCTAACGTAGCGCCCCAGGTCCACAAAGTGACTCCGGTGCCTAAACCCAAGATTTACGCACCACTGCAATCCACAAAACCCATGCTAAGTGGCTATCTAACCATGTAGGTGTCTAAACTTACTTGGTGACTATATTTTTGCTGTAAAAGTCCCCTAGGTGCCTAAGTTTCTGTAGGTGCCTGGATGCCTATCTCAGACCTGAGACAGGACTAGATCTTAGTTCTTTGAGATAGGACTTGACCAAATTGGCACATTATTGATATGTTAATGTGCATCAGCATGGTACCCATAACAGCTGGAGCACAATAGGCTAGTGTAGGGTAGATTCATACCCTACCTTACCGCAAACTAAATACTCCTGGAGACTAGCCCTTTATATTATGGCTGGGGCCAATAGAGATACACAACATATTAGGATGGGTGAAGAGGGAAGTACAAAGGCACAGTAAAACAGTCATGTTTAACATAATAAGCAGAAGTCAAACCACAGAAGGCAAACTCATGATCCTGTCAACAAGCCTTAAGTCTATAAGCTACAGGCAGGGGCTGTCTTTACTACAGGTGTGTACAACATCAAGCACAGATGGATCTTGACCCTTGATTGAGGCCTCTAGGCACTACTGCAATACAAATAGTAAATCAAACCATCACCACACTGGGTATGTCTGATATCTAAAGGGAATGGCCTAGCTATTTCTTTATTGTTGAACTCACTAAAATATTTCAATCATGCCTTTCGATAAAAGTTTTTATGTGATACTCAATAAAGGATTAAAAGCTTAATACTGTATATAGAAAAATCCTATACTGTGTCTGATAGCGACTATGCGTCACCTTATGAATTGAGCATGTAAATCCATGAGAACTATCTATGGGAAAGATAAGAACTCAACCCCCACCCCCCGAATAATACATTTTTCATATTTCCATACATCTCAAAGATGACCCTAGTCAGGGGCAAGAACTGCTTTTGCTTAGGACAGAGTTTGTGGACTTTTTTAGCAAAATATTAATAAGAGTTGCTATATATAAATATATTTTGGTTCTGCACTGCAAATCTGAAGTATGCCTTGAAACTTGTTCAGTTCTAACTTTTTAGTAATAGTAAATACTCTATTTACTAATACTGCACATGTTGCATAATAAATCACATGGGTAAATCCTGATTTCTGTGGTCAGTTGCAAATAGAACACACTGGACTAGTGAGAGAAATGGAAAGTTAAGTAAACAAAGATCACGGGCACAATCCTACTTTTGTTGAAGTTAATGGGAGTTTTGTCACTGCCTCCAATGACAGAAGGAGTAGACAGGTAGGTCTTGAAAGTTTCTCAAAGTCAGATTTTTAGTGCGATTTTTTCCCCCCACTTGTGGAAAGCATAACCCACCTCAACACTACCAATTTCCTCATCAAGAATGTTACAATTTCAAAATCCACCTAAGGTGGTATTTTTGAGTGTGTGGTGGTGGTCAGCTTTTATGGTTCTTCCATGAGTGCGTATTCAGTTCATTTATAAACTGGAATGTACACCACTTAATGCAGTTGGATTTTTTGAATGAATGATCATCGTCATCACCACATCTAACAAAATCAAGCGAGAGTGCTGAAAAGTTATCAGTCTTGATATTCTGCATTTCAACAATTCTCTTCAAAACAATCTCCCTCCCCCCCCCTCCATTTCCCCCAGGATTAGTTTAATCAACTGATGTAATGCTTCCTATCATTTTACAAAAGTCATTATATGCCCAAATATTCCATATATTCGTGGAAAATAAAGCAAAATAAAATCCTTCTAAGATAGAGGACAGGATTATTTTAATGTTCTTCATTAAATCCATTTTGTGGTGAGATCACTTATTAATATGTGCATTGTCTGGCAGACTTTGCTGAGCATATAGTAGTAATTAGTAAGGGGGAGTATCCCTGTTTATGAAAAGGACACTGGTCTTACAACAATTGGAAGAACTTTCCAAAAGTTGTGATAGATTCTTAATCACTGGAAACTTTAAAATCAAGTTTAAAGAAGTCCTATGACCTGTGTTATGCAGGAGGTCAGACTAGATATGCTCAGGGTAGGTCTACACAGCGATAAAAAACCCATGGCACTGAGTCTCACCCCAGGTTAGCTGACTCGTGCTCACAAGGCTCAGGGGACAGGGGCTACAAAATTGCAATGTAAACATTTGGGCTCAGGCTGGGACCCCAGCTCCGAGATACTCCCCACTGCAATTTTATAGCCCTGCAAGCTTGAGTCAGCTGACCTGGGCCAAACACGCATCTGCATGTCTTTTATTGCAGTGTAGACATACCCACAGCCATCCCCTTCTGGACCTTCACTGTAAATCTTGTCATAGAGAAACTAACTAGGGATGGAAGGATCATAAAAAGGGTAACTGACAACATGCTTGTCCACACTTTTTTCCATCTGTTTTATTACTGTAACCATTAATATCTTCTCCCTATCTACAGTAAACATGTCTCCAATTCATTTATATTATTTACAGTCATGGCTTTGGTTTGGAACTTATTTCATGTGATTACTACTACAAGTATACACCCATTTGTTTGGAATCATTCACTCTTCTGACAACAACAGTAAATATAGCCATGATATAAATATATTTTAACATAGGATTGTCCTGGTTGCTCGTCTCCCTTTGATGCATTAACATTACTACAAAAAGGTGAAAAATCAGAACACAGTATTCTAGTGGTTTAACCATTTTCATGGACTACAACTAGATTTAATTTTAACTATTTATAATATCCTATTAAGTATGACAGTACGTTTTGTTAGTACTGTGACAATCCACTAAAGTACTCTGGTATGATATTTTTGCTGAGGAATGGGAAGAGAAAAATTCTCAAAATGAAGTAACAAAAATGAGGAATAATTAGAGTGGCTATGAGTATTATAGTGAGAAATTAACAACCTACATGTTAAAAAAGAAAATTTAAATTGGTTATTAAAAATAGGCATCAACATAACAATGCTCAAGCGTATTTGTGTAAATGACAATCCTGTACTATTAGAAGAGGATGAAGTTGGATGATGCAGGAGATGCTTTCCAACACTATTATCTAGGACTATGAAGGATTAATAGCACCGACTAGAGTGAGACATAGTGCAGCCAAGTGTTGTGTAAGCTTCCTTACTGAACTTTGCCAAAGTATCTTCATGCTATTCCAGTCTTGGGTCTCTCAAGCAGAAGCTATTAATCTTGCAGAACTGTGCTCAATTTTAAAGGAGGTTTTATAATTCTATAATTATATTGTATTTAATTAATGAAAGAATTAAGAAATGTAACAAGTCTTCATTTTACTTCTGATATGATGTAATATAGACTGTACATTTTCTGTATTCTTCTTCCTTGCTCTGTGTATGTTAAATGCCAGTTAATGCCTTAATTCTGAAAATACCTATGCATGTGCACAAGCATTTGTAGGATCATGGCCTTAGAATGTACACTCTTTGGAAAAAGAATCATGTCTTCGTATTACATGTCTAGCACAACAGGGCCCCAGTCTTGATTAGAGTGCCTGGGCATTATTACAATAGAAATAAAGAATTCAATTTAAATGCACTGCAATGCAGATAGCTGCTATCACATTCAAAGAATTGTCTTGAAATTGGAAGTTTTTCTTCCAAAGCTGCTAATGTACTCAATTCTACCCAGGAAGAATTTTGCTGACAACGTTGTCTGAAGAATGGCTACGCTATTTTAATGTGTTATATTATTTTGTTTTGCACTCTCCTTGGCAAAACATGGATATGCCTACCATTTTCAATGTTCAGATAATTCTTCCTTTCTACTGCATATAAACTAAACAAAAAGGTAGAGAAGACCTGATTTTTTTAAATCAGGAACTTGAGGAACAGGAAATAATCGTTTTGATCTTTTTCTGCCATATTATTCTCCTTTGACTGAGGTGCAATATAGCTAGTGACTCTGCACATTCAAAACAATTAGCACATAACTCCTAGTTTAAAATCAGAATTCATTCCTGGTTTTGCTTGCATGTGCCCTAAAGATGTAACTGGATTTTCTGCAGAATTAAGGTATGCTTCTGAATAATCTTTTCACCGTTTTAGCAGTTTTCACTTTTGGAAGTTTTTTAAACTAAAAATTGTATGCAGTACTCCTAAAGAAAATAAAATTGTGTTTTTATAGATAGATGTATCTTAAAATAATTTATGTCAATGCTCTGCTTTGAACTTCCTGCGCTAGGGTAATTAGTCCCACCAATCAAGGCCTAACTAATATTAAATTTTTATTTTTGTGTGCACATCCTATTTATGTAACTTGTGTTAATTTTTGTCATATTCTTAACATTGCAGCATTTAGAGCAAAAGAAATACTTTAAATTTTTACAAAAGTACATGTATAACATATTTATAAGTCTTAGTTCTTAAAAATGTTGTGGTATTTCATGAGTAAAATATGTATAGGCCAGTACGATAGATCTATGTATGGTTAAAATGAATTGACAATGAAATGTGCCAGACAATTGTACTGTCAGCAATCTATTTACCTACAAAATAGATACAAGCATACTCCAAACTTCTGTCACTCTGCTCAGCCTTGGCCTCGAAGAACTAATTCTAGGTTTAAGAGGGAGGATATTTACAGTTGGTATCTGTCACTTATACTTGCAGAGGTTCCTGTGATATGGACACATTCCCTGGGACCTGGACTGAGCATGGCTCATTTCAGGTTAATGAACAGAAGTTACAGTACCTCTCATTCATTACTACAACTGCGTCAGTTTCAAATCCAATGACTTAGTTGATAATAGGTTCTGTATCCCATAAACCATCTAGTTTCCTGCTAAAAACTATTATAACATGCAAGAAAATTTAACAATGACCTTTATCATACCTTATTTAACAATAGTTGTTGACTTTTCATCACAGAATTATATTGCATTTGATCCACAGAGTTGGGTTGAGTTTCAGGAACACACTGGTACATAGACACAGCACCTGCATAGCATGTTTGAGAAGTTACCATAACTGGCTGAGAGTTTATTCCATGCTCTTGATTCTCGGGGACTTCTTGTGAACAACTGAGAAAATCCTCCAAGCTTGAAGAACCAGGATAGTTTGATCTGTCAAAACATCCTATTGGGAAATCTATTTGGGTAAAATTAGAGAGCTGTGGCACCAGGGTTGTGGGCTGTTTATAAGGCATAAACTCCTGCCTACATGCATGAGGTGCAGGGTTGACTTCTGATTTGTAAGCGAACTCTTGAGTAGTGCCAGGCATGTCAGAAAAAACATACTGCACTGGCTGTTGCTGTGAACAGCTAAAAGGCACATGACTACCAGAGTTCCAATTTGTGAACATCCCATCAACTTGCATATGCTTCATCTTCTGACATAACTGCTGCTGATGCTGCTCAGCCACTTGGTTTTGATGCTGATTAAGTTGCTGCTTATCCAAATGTTGCTGTACCAAACAGCTAGAGTTCTGAAACGTTGTCTGTTGCTGATGGCAACCTGAATACAAGAAGTCAGGCTTATTATTTAGGGAATCCTGAACATAGGTCAGGATTTCATCAGTTATGTCGATGTCTCCAATATCATCCACACAAGAAAATTCAGTTTTAAAAAACTCCTCATCCTGCTGAATACATTTTATATCTTCAAAGTCAATACCCAGACTTCTCATGATGTTGTACAAGTCACTATTTTTATTATCTTGAAAGAGCCCTGTGCTGTCTTCAGTAAGCATTAAGTTACTTTCCTGGGGACAGTTGGTTTGCTCCTGTTTCAAGATGTTGTTATTTCCGGTTGGTAAAAGATTATCCTGCCAGTCACTGCTAAGAACATTGCCCAATTCATCGCTGGTGTCCGTAAAGAAGTTTCTCTCGAAAGAAAGTTTATCTGAAGCGGGAGGACAGAGATATACAGACTCATCTTGCCTTAACATGGCACCCAGAATTGAGTTTGGATCAACATATTCTTTATGTAGTGTAGCTTTGGCAGCAGGTCCTGTCCCAGGGGTGCTTTTAACCTTTGTCTGCAAGGGATCCATTAGGCTAGGCAAAGGGAAGTTTAACTCATACAACACAGCCTCACCAGTTGCAAACATAAAAGGAACTGTCATGTTTCGCTTCCGTAAATGCTCTGATCCTTCTTCTTCTCTGAAATTGACAAAAAAAAAAAAATACAGTACTTTATTACAGTATTATAGTAATTACAATAAAATAGTATAGTTCTGTTTCCTAGAATTGAAGCATTAACAAAGTAAACTATTCTATTTGTAGGCACTTAAAAAGTGCCAGTCACTGAGGAATCTGGCTATTAAAACTTAACTTTAGTGGGTAAAGTGAGCAACAGATCATGATATAAGGAGTTTATTTACTGTAATACTTCCACATGTTCCATATGTTAATCAATATTATGTGTGCAATTCAATAAACCTAAATTACATACTTCCTATTCTACTATTCTTGATTTGCTGGGAGCATGGATCTTTCAGCACTGAATTCTCTTGGTATTTTTCATTTCTCAGTGTCAAGTGAGCGTTGGGTTTGTATGGATAATGCTAAATAATAAGTGGAATGGAATTCAGTATGTACTCTACTGAAGTTAATTCCTATGAGTAATATATGATGTCTCTGCAGCTGCAGTTGGATTTCTTCCAAGAGAAAAGGGGAGAAAAATAGAAGTAGGGTGGATGGAACGATCTTGTGCCTTTGTTTCATTAAATTTACTTCCTGAGAGGAACACAGTGGCATCTGCCATAATCAGTGCTGCATACAATTTGAGATGTCAAGGGAGGAATTTACAGATGGAATTATTGCAACACTGGCAATTTTTAACTCTTAAAAAAAAAAAAAAAAAAAAAGCTCTTTGCAGCAGGTAGAGAACGTTCAAAAACAAAAACATAACCCCCCAAATCCCTGCATCTTAATAAGATCTATGTCAGATGGTAGGTTGGGAGTTTTCAAGCTAAACTACTATGCTGTAACACTTACGTAAGAGGTCTCTGTGTTGCAATGATATAATCAGGTCTTCCGTTTTTGTAGATCAGGCGTGCATTTGCTTGAACCCAGGCCCATCGCTTTTCTTTGGTAAGAAGTCTAAACACAGTCATGCCACTCTCTCCAGTTTTTATCACTAGAATTAAAAATGGTCAAATATACTGCTTAATATTTTTTCCAATTAAGAAATAGACAAGAAAACTTGGCATCTTATATAAATAATTCTACTTGAAAAGCAATTTAATTATACTAGATAAGGTAAGTATTTAATAGTATGCTTCCTTATTACAGAATTATGTTCTCAATAAACCCATTGACATGCAATAACCAAGCCCATTTGGACCTAGAAAGTAAAATAAAAACAAAATGAATATATGGTCTGCCTGCCAAGAAGCTTTACTTAGGCCATGGGTAACAAGAACAAAAATCACAATGAGTTTTAAGATAGTCATGGGACACTGACAAACCAGCACAGTTAAAAATGAACTAGCCAGTCCACCTGTGTGTAACCTTTTAAGGCATGTCAAGAGGCACTGCAATGTAATCAGGCCAATTCAATTGTGTGCTAGTATCAAAGCGATGTTAAATGGGCTAGCAGACATCAGCCCATTCAATTATGTTGATAAGAGATCAAGGAAAATGTTGATCGAATTGTTTTTGTCTGTCTGTATTCTGTACGCCGTCAACCTTAAGATCAAAGATATGTATATAGTGTATGTAACTAATGATATTACCTGCATTGTCTTCAATTATCTATCTCTGTTAAAATGAATGGCCGGCAATTACCTTACGTAAATCAATGTAACTGGATTATTTGTGTATGGATGGGAAGTAAAAGCTTAACTTCAAAGCAAAGGTCCTTCGTTTAACAATGGAGATTCACAAGCTGTCTGTATTACTTATTCTTCTTCAGCTGGTGAAAACTCATGCTGCGTCAGTGATACTACGATTCTGCCTTCTCTGATCGGCTGAACCTAAACAGGGGGAGTTTTAAGCCTCTGGACTGAGATTCCCCAAAAAGCTAATTTTAGGAAAGCCCTGAGAGACTTATGGATATTAGCAGACATTACATCTCTGCTATCAACTGGGCTTATATATTCTGATTCAATTGTAATGTATTTTATCTGATTTAACCTTTTTAATGACATTTATTTTATTAATAAATCTGTAGTTAGTTTACTATAGATTGGCTACCAGCGTTGTTTTTTGGTTAGATCCTGAAGTATCCAGTAACCTGAGGTGAGTGATCAAAACCTAACATGTGTTAGTTTTGGTTTTAATAACCTTACACCATAAAGTCCAGTTTGCCTGGGTGGTAAGTAGGGGCTGGAATGCCAAAGGGACGTTCTGCTGAGAGTCACTCCAGGCACTGAGACAATTCAATACAAAAAATCCCAATATTTAATGGCACCATGGTCCATTATTTCGCCAATAGCAGGGACTGCTAAATACAACAGCACATAAATGGCAAAATCCTAAACTCTGTGTTCTAGCAGAAAGGCAAATGCAATTACAAAAACACAAAATAAAATGAAAAACAAGACCACCACACACAGAGCATTTGCTTTGACTCTAGGCTGGGTCATGTTTAGTTGTTTTATATCTCTAATATGATGAAAATAGTATAACAGTGAGTATTTCAAATACATAGTTTTCAGATGCTCTCTCAAAAAAATCTATCTGCCACTGCTTCATCTTGCGATCCAACTGTCACTTTTATAGTACATACAGTGGTGAAATAATTGCATTCCTAGACACAAACGGAACTGCAAAATAAAAAAGTAAAAGTTTGTAAGAGTCCCTAATAGAAAAAATCTATTTTATAAGGAGGCATTTAATATACTTAGCACCAGAGTGGGGAAAACCAGTAGGGAACAATTATTCCACGTCTTCCCTGAACCTTCTCACATTTTAAAAAACAAATCTTTTGAGGTTCTGAAATGTTTGAAATAATTTTCCCTTCAGCGCCACCATTTCCAATCCTGGTCTCAGCCAGATATTGGAAGTAATAAAGCTATCTTTGTAATATTTACATTCATTGCATGATTGGATTTGGGTGGGGGTGATTGAGTGTGCCACCAACTTGTTCTTTAAGGCTCCCAAGCCTGCAAGCTGATCTGAGTGGGCAGATCTGACAGATTATTAATGGGGCTCTGAACAGACACAGGGGTCCACTTACACATGTGAGATTGCACAAGTCAGGGAGGACTGTGTGCCTACTGGTCACCCCTTTGGGTGAAAGAATGGGGGATAGCTAACCAGTTTGCTTTACAAATGATCAATGAAGAGCAGGATGTAGGTGATGTACTACAGATGTCTAAGGGGATAGCGGGAAATTATTAAACATTACCTCCAACGAAGAGTAAAAGAGAAGTGCCTGTAGGTCATAGAAAGTTCTTATTTTAGCCTCTTACAGTAAAACTATCTTAAAATCCATCTCCTTAAGAGAAGTTGCTGAAATAGCAGCAGTTGGGCTGTGGGGAACAGGAACTGTGAACAGCAGGATATGACAGGAACTGGGATATTTAACCAAAATGGGTCTAGATAGGAATATTAAATATTTCTTCTTCTAGTATAAACTTATATGCAGAAGAAGGACATGTACAAAGAAAAGTGTTTATTCTGTAAATAACTAGATCAGTGGTTCTCAAACTTTTGGGTACTGGTGACCCCTTTCACATAGCAAGCCTCTGAGTGTGACCCCCTAATAAATTAAAAACACTTGTTTATATATTTAACATCATTATAAGTGCTGGAGGCAAAGCGAGGTTTGGGGTGGAGGCTGACAGCTCGCGACCCCCGCATGTAATAACCTCACGACCCCCTGAGGGGTCCCGACCCCCAGTTTGAGAACCCCTGGACTCGATTAATTTTGGTTATGTTTCATAACATTCTTTATTATAAATGTAATCTTTGCTTGTTTTAGCAGCCTGCCTCACAGATGGCAAATTACACTTACTTCGGATATGATTCTCAGCACAATAAAGCATATCAGCTGCATGAATAAATTGATATCCTGTTCCTCTCATACACAGCTCTTCTTCAGTGTATCCCAGCACAATTTTTCCTCTGTAAGACAAAAAGGAAAAACAAACTGTAGCACTACTGGTGTATCAATGTATAGTATGAACACAGGAATTAATCAATCAGGGCTAAACATTTCTGCTATAGCAGAGTATGTCATCAGTATTTACAATAAAGATTTTATGCAAGATTTTATGTGATTCTTCTTACAAAATTTAGCAAATACATCATGAGCCATACGGCCTTTATTATTTACCTAAGCTGACTTCAGAATACAGAAATGCTTTCACAAAATAAAATTGGATATTAAGGATAGGATTTCCAAAAATAGATATTTAAAGTTATGCTCCTAATTCTGTATTTTGTTATGTATCAGCAAATAAGTGGGGTAATTTTCAGAATTACCGTGCAAGCAGTAGCTCCCATTTACTGCAACGAGACCCTAGTCTGCTTGGCACTTTTGTGTGTGCGTGCAAATCAAGCCATGTTTTACTGGTAGGTGTTAAATATGGCATTAAATTTCCCCCCTAACATTTCCTTGCTAGTTAGATAAGTATTCTGGGCAATTTTCTACATCTATTCTAGCCAAAGGTGTATTCAAGAATATGTCACTTATGTTACTGAAGAGTCTGGGGATGCTCATAGTGTAATTAGGTGGTCTGTGAAGACATGAGTCCCATTGAACCAGAGTCAGCAAAGGGAGGCTGGCACTGTGTGCTCTAGTTCTGCGGCACAGAAGCCCATGATGTCTCTTAACCCCCCTTCTCTTAAAAAAAAAATTTAAGCACCTCCTTCCTCCAGTTATTAAACACCTCTTCCATCTTCTGCATTTCATGCCAGCTACCACTCACCTGAGCTGCTCAGTGTGGGAGTGGACGTGAACACCACTGTACTAAAGGGAACACGAGTTGTGCTGGCAGTAGCACCATGCTCCATAGAAGTCAACAGGAGTCTATAAGAGCCCTTTGTGGCCACAGCAGGATCAACAGGATATTATCAGGAATGGGGAAGAAGAATGGAAGAGGCAATAATTTTGAAGGAGCTGGGGGTATCTCCCAGAGTGTTAGACAGTGGAATGTTCAGTGGAAGGAAAGACTGGGGAGGAAGACACCTGGGGCGCAAATGGAAGATGCAAATAAATGGGGAATCCAAAGAAAGGAAGATGCAGTAGAAAGAAAAATGAAAGATGTGGGTAACAAAAGGAAGAGAGAAAATAAAAAGGAAAGGAAACAAGAGACAAAATAAAGAATAAGTGGTTTGTGAATAAAAATGACAAGAAAAATGGGAGATGGAAGGTAAGACAATATAATAAATACAAAAACAAAAATGGAAAGAGGAAGAGATGAAGACAGCAACTCATGGCTAGTAAATTTTACTTTTCTTTTATATATTCACATCTACTTTTCTTTATTGGGATTAGTAGTAGTTGGGGGAATATAGAAAAAGCATACTCATCCTGATGAAAAGGGTGGAGGATAATCTGGCTGTACATTGTGCACCACCGGTCCAGGGGAATCTGACCAGGGTTACCCAATCATAAATGGGAGGGAAGATTTAAAGCATTGAGAACACTGAAAATCTGACCTCAGAAAGGGAGGGAGAAGGGAAAAACTCAGGAGAGGCCAGAGGATTTTATCTTGTAAGAGGAATCAATGTAGTGCGCTTTTTGCCATGCTTGGGGCATGGTTGTGCTACGCTGATCTAGAAATGTAGTAGGGTTTATTTTCTTAAAATGAAGACAAAATAATGGTTTGGAAGGAAACTGGTCCAAAGCACTGTGCAAAACAATTATTTCATGTGATTAATTTCTGTATAATTTTGTTTCACTTATAGCTAATTTGCAACAAATCACATTTCCATAGTAGTTTACATCTATTTGAATTGAAAAGGTGGCTGGGTGTAGTGGAGGAGGAGGAGGAAGCAATGAGAAAGATGCTTTGATTTGGGTGAACTTCATCCTCATCAGTGGAGAGTATTCTAAATCATCCCTCCCAGGGGCTACTTTTATCCCTAATTCATAAAGATACTTCTGAAGAGCAATTTTTTGTTTTGATAATGCTCAGGAGACAGGTATTATCAAACAGTTTCTGAAGAGGATATCTGTAGAAAGTATCCTTTCTATCTACAAGTGCTTTATATCTTCCAGCAGTGGAGGAGAAAAACCTAATGACAAAATACTACTTACCACCCCAATACACAATCACCTCCAATGCTCACCTAAAGGTACCCATTTAAACACTTTAAAGATGCAGAGATCTATTTCAGCTGCAAGTGTACAGGGAAATGTAACATGCTATGTAGATGACCGTGTACCTACTTTGCATCACAGCCTATAGGTGTGAAGTCCAGTTTGTGTTTGGTTCTGAAAATGAAGTTTTTGGTTCGTATCTCAAGGATGGATGGAGGCTGCAGTGGGGTAGCCACTGCAAATAAAGCCAGCTGAGGAGAGACAGGAGAGCCATCCTTCCCTTTCTTGTTCTGTCCATGAAGAAACTTTAATCGCCCTTGAAAATTCATGGCCTTCAGATGAGGAAAATATATAGTGATCACAGATTAGAGAGATATTCACGCATCAAACTTTTTTTTTTTTTTTTTTAAACACACTTCCCTGAACAGTGGCACTTATTTTAACTTCCATCTCATTCATGCTTTGGACCTTAATTAATATTATAAAATAGATAAAAAATAGAGAGAGTTATGCTGCTATACTTAGATGCCTGTCATTTAGAAAGCTATTACCCCATAAACCCATCTCAAAAAGCAAACACAGAAAACCTGGTGTAAAACAGAACATCACCAGTAAACAAAAGCTGCATTGTTTTGAACCCTATGTAAGCGGAGATGGATTCAGAGAATCTTTTATTTTATTCCTAGGCACTATTACCACCATTCTCTAGTTTTATACACTTTAGGCAATAGTGGAAGTCTTTATATAATTGTATACTCACCAAGAACCCAGATGAATTATCCAGAAGGCACCGTAATCTGCAGACAAAATTTCTTTCCATAAAGGAAGAATTCTCTGGAGGAAGCTGTTCTGGCTTATAATAGGCTGCTGGCTGTGAAAAAGCATTATCTCCTGCAGGAAAAGATTATTTATAAGGGTTATTTTTAGAGAAACACCTAGTGAAGGCTATCTATAACAAATGATCTTCCGCCCCATAAACAAAGTCTCAGGTCATGACCTGAACATGAACAATGTAAATTGGAAACATCCTCAAGACCTACATTGACTGCACCACTAGAAATGGTTTAAATATCAGTTCTCCTGATAGGATTGTGTTTAACTGTTTATCATACTGTAGAATTGTGTCAAACACACCTCCTGGTTGTTCTTTAGTAGTCCTTTTTTTAGTTTATGATTCAGATTTTGAAGCAGTCTTGGAAAATTAGATTTCTCCATGGACAATGTCCACACTGCCTTACAGGTGGGATTTTCAAAGGGAGTTTGGCAGTCAACTCCCATTTATTTTCCTTGGGCACCTAACTCCACTGAGTCCTTTTGAAAATCCTACAGCATTTCCTGTTGACGCCTAGTATTGCATTAAGAAATCACAACTCTCCAAGCATCTAACAAAATCCAACAGGAAAAGTGCCACAGATCAGCTGCTCTGTTCAGTTGTGCACACTGCCACTTGTTAAATGTTTGTTTATTTTTATAGAAACATTCTCCTATTCACATATTGTGATGTCTCAATAGCAGGTGCAGAATACAGAAACGACAAAAGCAGCAAGATTTGTTGTGTACAGTGCTGATCATGAAATCAGTGTGTAGTTCTATCCGTCAGAAGCATGTGCAACTTAAGGATGTGTAACTGAGGTGGTAAAATGATACTGTGTTGGCAATTTAGGATAACTATTTGCTGGTGAAGTGACATTCAGGCATTAATTTATACTTCAACTGTTAAGGTCCACGAAACACAATGCAAAAAATATTGCATCAGTAACCTGCAAACTGACCATATGATCTGCATGATGTTACATATTATAATTACTGTACTATGTCTGTTCAATGTCAGTTAATGAAGTACTCTGTGCAGGCAATATATACATACACACACCCCAAAGTGACCTACCAAAATAATTCATATGCACATACAGATGCAATTGAGAAAACTGCCACACAGTTTTCCCGGGGGGAGGGATAGCTCAGTGGTTTGAGCATTGGCCTGCTAAACCCAGGGTTGTGAGCTCAATCCTTGAGGGGGCCATTTAGGGATGTGGGGCAAAATCAGTACTTGGTCCTGCTAGTGAAGGCAGGGGACTGGACTCGACTCAATGACCTTTCAAGGTCCCTTCCAGTTCTATGAGATAGGTATATCTCCACATATTATTATTATTATTATTATTATTATTATTTTTTAGTAAGAACTATAAGATCTCTTATGCAGTATATACAGCATGGCTTTGGAGTTGTGCAAAGAGCTTGATTAAAATAAACTAATCAGGTGCGTAAAACCTACATAAAATTTGCTCTGGCATTTACTCTAATAGAAATTCAATAACTAAGAGTATCAATGAAAAACTACATGAAGTCAATTGAGGAAACTGATTTTGATGGTATAAAAAAACCTAAACATTAAATTCCAGATCTCAAGCAAGATCTAATTTGTTGTTTCTCATATATCAAACATAATAAAGTAAATGAGTTGCACATTAGCTACAGTACCATTCTCTCACACACTATTTTGGGAGTAATTTTATACAGTCTTGAAACACTCTTCAGCAATACACATTTAACTATCCATGGTACAGCTGCACTCAAGAATGTCTGAAAGTTTCTTCTAACTTCCTTAGAAATAGAAAAGACCCAAACGTACACACTGGCACTGCTTTTTTGGATCCAGGGATCTAAAAGGTCATGAAACCTGGACTCTAATTTCAAGGTGTTAAAAGCCACCTATAATTAACTATGAATGCCAAAAATGGCAATATGAACATTAACACGAACAACTCAGGTAATTCATAGAAACATTCTGTAACAGAAATCAACATAGCGTAACCTGAATAGTATGGTCTAGGGTACTCAATTGCTGTCTTGTTCTTTCTTGGACTTAATCTTACTCTTAGTACTAACACAGCAGGCTCCCTCCACAGCAGAGCTAAATCTGAAATTTTGAACCATGTTTCATTATGGAAAACTCATTTTTATACTGTCTTCCTTACTGTCATACCTACTATTTCCCCCTTTGAAAACAAACCAAAAAAGGAAAGTAAAAACAGCAAAATGGCATACATGGAATGTTTTCAGTTTTCCATATAAGAAGAAAATGTTATCAGCCATGAAAACATGTTAATAATCCAGATTACCATACTATACACACAATTTACTATTTAAATGCGAAATGTTTGTACTACACTGAAAACTAATGGTTTCTAACATCAGAAACTAAATTTTCTGATTTACATGTCCAGTAAATGGATGGCTAGTTGAATGAACTTTTCCTTTCCATTCTGCCCTTAACTCCAACCATGCCTCACAATTGGTAAAATGTTTGTTCAGTGTCCATAGCACTTTTATCCTGTGGGTCACTAAAAGTACAAATCAAGACAAATATGTGTATATGAGATGAGGGTATTAAAAATCAGAAGTGAATTAAAATAGATAATGCTTTCACTAACATATCAGGGTCCTTGTGATCATAAATGTGACATTTGTTATGTATCTGAATTAAATAATAATAAAAAAAGACCTGAGAACCAAAAGCTGTATTTTCCCAATTTACAAGTAATCTGGTGTGAAAATAGTTTAACAGTTTTAAGTAAACTAGAAACATACTGCATAGCACTAATATTCCTACTCTGTTCTTGCATTACTTCCATCATTCAAGTGAAAACTGATGCTGAGTTAAGCTATGGTCTTACCTTTTCACACAACATTATTTATAAGTTGCTCTGCGCTGTTAAAAGGAATTTTTAATCTTGGAATGCTTTTTCACTCTAGAGTAAACCACTCTATACAAATATGTCTTCTGACAACAGCTGTTTGCTAAATTAAGTCCCAACACTAAATCAAAAGACATGTTCACTGTAGTATGTTTTCAGCTAGATCTGGATCAATTTACACATCTGGTATAAACACTATAAAAACCTAGTTGAGTCACAAACACAAACGAATTGTTTTGTACTAGGAACACCAACAACTGTGAAGCACACAGAGCTCTAAATGAGCCAAGGCCCAGGGCCGGCTCTGGCTTTCTGGCCGCCCCAAGCAAAAAAAAAAAAACCGCGGCGCGGCCAGAGCCAGGGTGCAGGGGGACTCCCTGCCTTGCAGATGTGCCCCGGCTAGCGTGGGGAGGGAGAGGGAGCGGGGGGAGAGAGAGAAAGGGTGCGGTCAGGGCTTCAGTAGGGCTCTGCCACGCGGCCCCTCCCGCCGTGCCCCCTGCCGGGAGGGCTCTGCACCACTCTGGTCGGCTGGGAGGGAAGGATGCGGGCTGCCCTGCCGGGCTTGCTGCAGGGCGCTCCCGTCCTCCACGCTGCTGCCCCCTACAGGGTGGCCGGAGCGGAACAACAACAAAAAACAAAAAACAAAAACAAAAAGCAGCCGTGCCGCCCTAGGATTGGGCGGAATGCCGCCTCCTACAAGCTGCCGCCCCAAGCACCAGATTGCTCGGCTGGTGCCTGCCCTGCCAAGACCACAGGTCAAAAGATATTTAGTCTTTTCCTACCTAGCTTAGTGAACATTTACCTTATTAAATATTGAAGTATGCCATCTGTCTGCAATTTAAGAAGGTTAAAGGGAAACTGTAAAATTTTAAATCAAATTTCTTTATGTAGGTAGATTGGTGGATTCAAAGTGGAAATAATCCAATAATAAATAGGAAGATGGGGCCTGGCCCACATATTTATAAAACTACAGTGCCAAAATGCACTTATCCAAAATGTTTTCAACCTAATAAAGGTCTTCGGTCCTCTATGGATATAAAATGCCTTGCCCTCTTTGTCATGCAGTTTCAATGGTGAAGGCCCAAATACTATTTGCATTGCTATAAAAAGAGCAGTACAAAAGCCTTATTAAAGCTCAATCTAAGAGTATCAATGAAGTTGGTATATATGATAATTCAAATACACCTCTACCTCGATATAACACGAATTCGGATATAACGCAGTAAAGCAGCGCTCCGGGGGGGGGCGGGGCTGCGCACTCCGGTGGATCAAAGCAAGTTCAATATAACGCGGTTTCACCTATAACACGGTAAGATTTTTTGGCTCCCGAGGACAGTATTATATCGAGGTAGAGGTGTACAACTTTTGGATGGTTTTCCAAATAATGTAAATTGTAAAAATGTTGCACCAAAAAAAAGTATCTCCAAATATGGCTTAGTTGGGGATGGTCCTGCTTTAAGCAGGGGGTTGAACTAGATGACCTACTGAAGTCTCTTCCAACCCTAATCTTCTATGATTCTATGAAACCACATGGTTACCTGGATACTGATTAGTTTGGTGGCTTTACTAGGTAGTATTCAGTTGCTTTGTTATTACAGGAAGCCAGCCATAAAGGCAGCTCTGCCAGTCCCTATAGCTAAGAGATATATTACTAATTGCTTCTCAATCCAAAAGATCAAATTGGCACCTACCTCATAAGGTCAATTAGGATAGTCTCTGGTTTTAAGGGCCATCCCTCTTGTGTATTCAGCTACCTTTTGTTCTTTTGCCTGCTCCTACCCAGGAGGGGGTGTACATGAGAGAGACTTCATATCTGAACAGGGAATAAAAAGCCACTCTTCCACAGCCACCAATGTACTTTTCCAGTGCAAAGATGTGACAAAGGCACCCCTTCAGCCATCACAGAAGATGGGCCAAAAGTGCTGAAAAGGTATGTCAGACGATTTAAATGACGTCCTGATTGAGCTAACAAATTTGATGTCAAGCTCAGTATATCAGAAGAGGATCTGTAATAAATGCATAATTTCATGGAAGGGACACCCACACTTCATTCAAAGAGACATGATCAAGATCTTTCCTCCCTCCTGACAGAGATGTTTAGATAAATTGATTGGTTGTTGTGTGTGTTTGTATCTTCAGTTTATGAAATAAAAATCACATTTAGGCACTTTTAGAAACATAATATCCATCCTAGGCATCACATTATTTCACCCTAATTAATGAGTAGTGATGCGATGTGCAAGGCTTGGGATTTGCGCTTCAAAACAATATTTTCCACCTGTAATTTTCCATTTAAAGTGAAACTAAAATCTTGTTTATGCAAGAGTCATGTGTTAAATGCTTATCTGAAATGAGAATTTATGATTTAGAATACAAATACATAAAGGCAACTGTAAGCTAGTTGATTGCATTCTCACCTTGTGTTCTCTGTGCAGAATCTGTCGGTTGTACAGGTTTTAACGCCCAATGAAGCTGACGCTGAAACTCAGGTCTGTCTTCTGTATGAATCAATTCAAATACACTCTGGTGTATAATATCAGACTATACACAAAAAGGAAAAAGTTGAGAGAGTAAGACATCTCTGATGACAGTACCAAAGTCATCTTATTGACTTCAATTACATGACTGGTTGCTGAACTGGATACTACAATCCATCTCACTGGAGATACAATAATATAAAGTTTGTATTTAAGAAGAACAAGTTTCATGAAATCATTTGTAAATGCTCATAAAAGAATCCAGTCGTGCCCATTAGAATTGAATTCCTTCCTGTTATATTTTGGTTTTCTTCTGACACAAACTCAGCCTATCAAGGTTTTATTTTTCACTCTTCATTGTCCATGACAGCCTAACAAAAATGTAAAAATAAGAAAACAGCTTTGCCATATACAGAAATGACAATGTCTCTTTTTTTTTTTTTTTTTTTAAAAGGAGATAAAGATGAAATGGTTTTTTTTAAAGCACACTCCAGTTTATATAAGAGCAAAGTAAGTACAGTGCCAATCAGGACTTGAGCATAGTTGTGCTAGGAGACAAGGTCCCAAAGAAACTCACAAATATAAGACAAGTATAAACTCTGAACGTTAGTTTTGTTTGCCTGAAATCTTTCTCTATCTAAGGTCCATTTATATCTTTAATTATTAAACTGCCTTATCATCTGCAGTAATGGTGCTTAAGAACGGGACGCGAGCCAAAAATTAAGAACTTCCTGCATCAGGGGTTGAAAGAATTGAAGGAAAACTTTTTAAAGCTAATAAAAGAATTTCAAAAGCAGGATCAGTAAATTAAGATAAATTTCTGTGCTGTAGGTTCTCTTAAAAAATATTTGCTTTCTGTGGTATCAACCATTATATAAACTCACAGTATCTAAAAAACAAGGACAAAAGGAATATGAGATGGTTTTGGCAGAAGCAACAGTTTAGCTCAAATGAATTAGTTCTTTGCTTTATCCATGTTTTATTAAAAAAAGTCAACCATTACTAGAAAAACTGCCAGAAATACTAATTTTTAAATCTTAATGTAAGTTTTAAGCTTCACTTTTCATTCCATAAGAAATGCAAACTTGACATTTTGCAGTTACAATGTGCATTTCATACCTACTCTATTTTTCCAACTTTTCTTATTTTTCAACAAAGATGTGTAACTTGAAAAATATATATATTTTGTTTGGAGCATTTGCTTTTAAAACTAAAATTCCCAATGCCCTTATCCATTGGCTAAGAAGATAAAAGCAAGAAGAGATTCTATTGGGTCTAACAGCAACTACATATATCACCATCTAGCATATATATCTAGCACCCAGCAAGACAGATCTGTATTAATCCCAGGTGGTGAAGAAGTTAAGTACAACTGTACCTTCCGGATATCAGTATGATCATTTTCCACTAAACAGGATTTTTTTTTTATATTCTGCAGCACAACATAATTTGTTTGGCTTATATATTAAGTGATATTATCATTAAACAAAAACTCAGTTCCTTCATTTACACAGTGAGTCATTTACAAAAAAGGTATTATACTTGAAGAAAAACAAATGCAAAAGGAACTAAAAAAAATTAGTAAGCTAACCCAATACATAATTAAACTAACCTTAAAGCATATGTAGGTCATTTATTAAGAAAAGTTTCTATTAAAATTACCTTTCTAGTGAATGATGTACCATTCAGCACCGTAAATTGTGCAGCATTTCATATGATTTCAAACATTTGTTCCAGTACAATTTAACTGTGAAAGTTCCCTGACTTGCTTAACACAATGTTGGAAAAATATTCCTATTTTGCTTGGCACAAGACCCCTTCTCTACTATATCAGCTAATACTAAAGAAGTATAGTACCAAAGTAATCCAGCTCAAAATATTTAACTGAGATTATTTTCCATGTAAATTATCAAAGACTAAATATGAGCATTGAAGCCTTAGGAAATCATTAATTAAAATCTTCTAGAAATCAATAAAAACTTGTTGGGGGGTGGGGAGGGAAGGGGAGAGAGGGGAGTGAGGAGAAAAAGAAAAGACATACTTGCTGGAACCCCAGATAGTCCTGGATGGTTGAAGAGGCATAAAAGACTAGAGCATCTGCTGTAACAACCAGCACAAAGCCATTTAATGCCTGGAAAGAAAAAACACCAAAATCGGTTAGCTTGAAAGACAGAATTCCAGATTAAATAGCATTTCTATAAATTTTAGTGTTTCTATAAACCTACTGGCTGGTTTTGCACCTCCAGCTTTAGTTTGAACTGCAATGCATTAAAACAAAGTATCACTTTAAAAGAAATCAAAAAATTTCCCTACTTACACTGTTAGATAATTAAGTCCTGATTTTACCAGTACCTTACAAAGGTATGCAATTCTGTATAATGCAATCTGAATCTGAAAGAAAAGATTTTATATAAAATCCTAAGTACACATTTCTGCATACTGACTTTTAAGCCATCCTTCTCCAAGCGCATAACACTAGTTCCTATGTAGCACTTTTTATTATTGTGGAAAATAATAATGCAGAGATGTGCTTTTATAAATTGAGAGGAGTTGGTACTATAACAATGAACTGTAGTTAAGGATGCAAATATTTATCAAATAACTTCAGAGTGGAAAACTAATAGGTCACTCTAATTTCAAAAGAAAATAAATACCTGAAAGCCGGGAAATTAATTTACAGTAAATTACATCTTAAAACCTCAGATATTCAAAAGTCCATAAATGCAGGATTAAGATAATCAGGTCACCTCTAACTCTGTCCATAGATCCCTCCTACTTTACACCACAAATCACAAGACAGTCATACCTCTACAAATCATGAACTGATAATGAGTCATGCACCCCAAATAGGTATGTGGTAAGTGTAAATTAATTTCTAAAAGGTTAGTTGAAATACTAAACTTATTTATATTCTACATATCGAGTTTAATTAATTCCTGATGAAACACTACTGAGGGAAAATACTACAATAAGTCCTATTAAGTCATTTATACCGAGGATGAATTTTTTCCTTGATATTTATTAAAAATAAAATGTCCCAATAATAGAAGAAATAAGGCAATAATGCAGGGTTAGCTCAGATTGCATAATAGATTCTCAATTTTAAGTGCATAACAGATAAACATCTTAAAAATTACCTTTTACTTATTTATAGGCTTGTCCACACCACACTACAAGTACCACAATGAATGGGGACTTAAATACATAAAAACAAAACACACATTATTCAGAGCTTTAACCCCAAAAGGGAAAAGCACAAAGAGACTCCATGAAGTTCACTAGTAACTTCTCTATTGCTACCGATTTATTGTTGAAGATGTTGAGTTACTATGGTAATGAGCAGTACTATAAAACCAATATAGATCTAGTTACAACACAATTCTCCCAACCAACGTGTGGTGCAAATGGAACTTTAGCAAGGCTTAGATAACCCAAACCTTTTGCACAATTAACAGATAAAATACCATGTGCAGTAAAAAATGGAACCAAATCTATTTTACTTATAGTGCACACAGGCCTTACATGGAGAGGCAAGTAAGTCATCAAGCTCTCTATATGATTAAAAAAGCATTTTGCAGATCATTTAAAATATGCAGCTGAAAACCTCTGTACCAGCAGACGCTGCAAGCAAACAATGTTTTTAAAGAGAGTTTTCCCTTTATGAAGAACTAGACAAAGTAGCTCCTTATTTAAAGTCACGCAAAGGGTATTTATCTGAGCTCACAATCAATATGGTTCACAGCGATTGTTGTGATAGCAAACAGAACATTTGTGACTTGGCAGCTCATCTAAAAGGTGCTGATTTACTTTCATGGATTCCAGTCAAGATTTTAACAAAAGGCTGTCTCAAGGGACTGAACTAAGTATGTTTTGCCATTTAATTACCATAGTTGCATTTAGAGTTAGACTTTGACTATGTGTTCAAATAAGAACATTTCAAAATCTTTAGTGTGAAAAATTATTATTTACAACTTCTAGATCACAAAGTAAATGAATGATAAAATACTGTCATGTTTACAAACTAAAGTAAGAGAATGAATCTCATTACAAAGAATTACCCACCACACCTACACATTCGTGGTCCTCGGCACAACTGTTATTTCATAAATTCTCCCTCTTAGGGTGCAGTTACTACTTCAATTTGTTCTTCCCATTACCAGGGTTTAATAAGGTCAGGTTAAATAGCCCATTAAATTACCTTTTTGAAGACTCTCTGAGCACCTTACATTTAAAAAAAATTAAAAAAATAAAAAACAGAAATGTCACATTTATGGAGCTGTTTAAAAACTTTTCAAAAATGAAGCGCCCTCCACCTATAAAACAGGATATTAGGGTTCTAATCCTGGAAGAATAAGTGACAGTACGAGTTAAAAAGAATACAGAGTTAAATTAATAGTATAACCAATACAAGTCTTCAGTTCTCATAGCTGACTAAATGACATGCAGTAGTTATGTAAAGTGCCTGGTTTTGTTAAAAGATAATATAAATTAAAAGTGAATACAGTGCAAAAATGTCATGGCCTTTGTTTGGGTGCTCTTTTGATTTCATTTATACAGTACTAATACACCTAAAATTAAAAAAATGCTGTAAACTGTAGTGTGATTACATTCTGGCCCAGCAGCTAAAATTAGTTTCTGTACCTTTTCATCCAAAAGTCAAAGATTCTTTGCTCATTGTAATATGAAGAGGCCATCTCTCCAGTCTGGAGCAACATATTTTATAGTGGTTCTGATGCTTAGTTCAGAGAGAAATGGCTGTCCATGCCAAAAATGGGTTATGTTAGGTAAGTGGCAACTTCAGTTTCTATAAAATACAAAATAAATCACTTTCCCAAAGTTTTTATTAGAAAAATAATAATACTTAATGTTCTGTAAGCATATAGGTGCCCTACATAAGTTTGAACTCATCAATTTCTTGTTTGGTTACAACAGTTTAATCATGTCATTTATCTGTTTTTAAAAACTGGATAAAGTAAAACTAATTTCATTTTAAACCTAACCAATGGATGTCTCTAGTATAAGTAAGTCTTTTATGTATGTGTGTGTTTTGCTCCATTTAAAAGGTAAATTGGTCACCTTAATACTTCCATGGTATTTGTTCATTGTATCTGCTTAGAATTAAAACAATAATATACTGAAGTACCTTTAATTCTGATTGGCTTTTCTAGTCATTGAGGAAATTAGTTTTCATCAATATTAATTTACAGTCAGTGTTTTAGGATTCTTTCCCTTTCATGTTTTTTTAGGGATTATTTTCAAGATGACAATATCAAAGAAAGTATAGACAAAAACGAAAAATGTTGGGGTCATCATTCTTGATGTTCCTTTTGAAAAAGTTGGTGAAGATAATTCCTTATTTTTTCCTTATTATTACAGCAACCAGGAGCCCTGGTCATGTATAAGGACCTCACTGTGCTAAGTGCTATACAAAACACAGTACCCTTGCTAAGTAGTTTATTTTCAACTATCACATTATATGGGTATATTTACTGTACCTGGTAGTCATGTCAGTCACTACACTGATGCTGTATAAGACATGGTCTAGTCAGTAGAAAAAAAATTACACCAGAAAATGAAGTGAGCCTTAATTGTGCACCAATCATTAGATGAGCTCTCTAATTCTTTCAAAATTCTTTCTAGCACCTCTCTCAGAAAGTGAAGTTTTTGTAACTAGAGGATGCTGCAGGAAGGTAGGCTGCAGTCACTCCCTGACAGGAGGGAGTCGGGATGCTGGCAAACCCAGGGAGGAAGGAAGCCAGGAAAGGATCAGGGGGAAAGCAGCTAGGTAGGACATTGCTGGCCTTGGCTACTCACTGGAGAGCCTCTGAGCTGGAACCCAGAGTAGACAGTGGGCCCGAGTTCCCCTACCAGCTACTGGGGATTTGGCACCAACCAGGCAGACGACAGTGGACTGCCTGATTTATTCTGGAAAGGCTTTATTACATACCCTGGAAGGGGGAACTACCCTGTTTCCCCGAAAGTAAGACATCCCCCGAAAATAAGACCTACTTCCAGTTTTGCCTCTCGCTGTAATATAAGGCATCCCCCGAAAATAAGACCTCCCCGATAATAAGGCCACCCCGGAATATAAGGCCCCGAAGCTCCAGGAAAAATAAGACCTCCCCTGAAAATAAGACCTAGCGCATCTTTGGGAGCAAAAATTAATATAAGACACTGTCTTATTTTCGGGGAAACACAGTATGTGGCTGGAAGGCTGAGTCACAAAGAGAGGCTGTGGTTCCTGGAGTGAGTGGTACACAGGGCGAGAGGATTATGGGAGAAACACCACCAGGGGAGGGCACAAAACCTGGCCAGAGCTAATCTCCAGAGCACCCAGGAGGAGATGTCACCAGCAGCAAGTGCACCCTGTGACAGGTGGAGACAAGGCAGTTGGATTTGATTTTGGTTTTGACTGAGGGCTATGGATGATATGAATAAATGAATTTTATACTTAAACTAAATATTTTACTTTTGCATTCAAATATTTATTTTAGGAATTTATCATCACACATCAGTGACAATTTATTGCTACCTGAATAGTGATTGGAATACATTTATTCTCTTTTATCCAAGTAACTGAATTATTATTGCCTTTGAAGGACAACTACAAACTAAATAGTGACTAGGGTTATTAGGAAACAAATTGTGTAAAAGTTCAAAAGTGCTAGAGGGAGCGTTCATAATTTATCTGTAGGACATATATTAAAACCCTTCTACTTTGTGAACAGATATTTAATTAGAACGTTGGGATAGTTTTATAAATATTAACTGACTTCGATTTTGACTTTATTATATCATTATGATTCTTAGTCTTTGAAATCAAGGTGCTAAAGGAGCACTGAAAGAAGACAATGCTGTTGCAGAGAAGCTAAGTGAATTCTTTGCCTCAGTCTTTACTGCAGAGGATGTGAGGGAGATTCCCACACTCGAACCATTCTTTTTAGATGACAAATTTGAGAAACTGTCCCAGATTGAGGGGTCAATAGAAGATATTTTGGAATAAATTGATAAATTAAACAGTAATAAACCAACAGGATGAGATGGTAGTCACCCAAGAGTTCTGAAGGAACACAAATATAAAACTGCAGAACTACTAACTGTAGTATGTAATTTATTGCTGAAATCAGCCGCTGTACCAAATGACTGGAGGATATCTAATTTAACACCAGTCTTTTAAAAAGGCTCCAGAGGCAGTCCTTTCAATTACTGGCCAGTAAGCCTAACTTCTGTACCAGGCAAATTGGTTGAAACTATAGCAAAGAACAGAATTATAGATTAACACGATATGTTGGCAGAAGAGTCAACACGGCTTTTGTAAAGGGAAATCATGCCTCACCAATCTATTAAAATTTGTTGAGTGTCAACAAACATGTAAACAAGGGTGATCAATGGATATAGTGTACTTGGACTTTCAGAAAGCCATTGTCAAGGTCCCTCACCAAAGGCTCTTAAAAAAGTAGGCAATCATGGGATAAGAGGGAAGGCCCTCTCATGAATCAGTAACTAGTTAAAAAGATAGGAAACAAAGGGTGGAAAACTGATCATTTATTCCTACAATGGAGAGAGGTACAAAGGGACCCCAGAAAACTGGGTGACTGGGCCAAAAAATGGCAGATGAACTTCAATGGCGATAAGTGCAAAGTAACGCACATTAGAAAATATAGCTCCAATTATACATACAAAATGATGGGGGAAGGGTCTAAATTAGCTGTTACTATTCAAGAAAGATCTTGGAAAAATTTTGGATAGTTCTCTAAAAACATCTGCTCAACATGCAACAGCAGCAGCAAACAAACAAACAAACAAATCTAACAGCATGTTGGGAACCATTAGGAAAGTATATGGTCACTATATAAATCCATGGTACGCCCACATCTTGAATACTGCATAAAGTTTTGTTCATTCAATCTGAAAAAAAGATACATTAGAACTGGAAAAGGTACCGAAAAGGGCGACAAAAAGATTAGGTGTTCGGAACAGTTTCCATATGAAGATAGATTAAAAAGACTGACCAGCTTAGAAAAGACACAACTAAGGCTGGATAAGGTAGAGGTCTACAAAATGATGAATGGTGTGGAGAAAGAGAGTAAGGAAGTACTCTTTACCCCTTAACATAATCACTCAATAAAATTAATTGGTGGCAGGTTTAAAACAAACATAAGGAAGTACTTCTTCAAACAACGCACGGTCAGCCTGTGGAACTCCCTGCCAGTGTATGTTGTGAAGGCCAAAGTATGGGTTAAAAAAAATAATAGATAAATTCATGGAGATTGCAGGGTCATTGATAGTTATAAGCCAAGAAGGTCACGGACACAATCCCATGCTCTGTGTGTCCCTAAACCTTTGACTGGATGATCGGGGATGAATCACTAGATAATTGCCCTGTTTGGTTCATTCTCACTGATGCATCTTGCATTGGCCACTGCTGGAAGACAGAATACTGGGCTATATGGGCCATTGATCTGACCCAGTATGGACATCTTATGTTCTTTTAAAGAAAATAAAAATACCAAAATACAAAGTAGTATATAAAAACCCTGTCTCGTTCACACCACTTCCCCCTCCCTCTACCTACTCCCTGATAGTAGAAGTGAATCAAAAGTTTAGGTTTTACAACATGACCTGAACTTGTATTGCCAAATTTAGGCTTTTTCAAACAACCAGAGAAGACAGGATCTTCCAGTGAGCACATCATCACCTATAAACATTTTAGTCACATGAAGTACTGCCTAGAGCAGTTCAGCAGATGGTATCTTTCATTACACGACTCGAGAAGGTAAGTTTTAGATATCTATGTCCAAGATCACAAATTGTTATAGGTTTTAACCAATACTTTGAACTATACCTGGAACCACATAGGAAGACAGTACAGGGTCCAGAAGACTGGTGCTCTATGGTAACAGGCTGAACCAACTGAGACAAGATATTGCTTTCTATGCTAACAAGCTTTTCAGTCATTGCAAGAGTAAGACCAAGTAGCATGCATCACCAGGGCTGGATTTATACCTTGTGGTCCCCACACCATCTCTGGTGGCTGCCCCAGATCTGAGCTCCCCCCCATCTGCAGGGGCTTGGAGCTCCAGCCCACCCCCCACTGCCCGGCAGCAGCTGGGAGCTGCGGGAGTGCCCCTGCTTCCCAGTGGCAGATGGGAGCTGTGGGACTCGTAGCTCCTAAAAGCTGCGGGCAGTGGGAGTACCGCCACTTGTAACTTTTAGGCACCTCGCCGTCCACAGCCCTCCCACACAGCCCAGCACCCCAACACACATAGACCTCTCCCACCCCCATAAATCCCACCAGAGACCCACTCTCCCATGCCCTGCCCCCCGGACGCACTCACCGGTCCCGCTGGGAACTGTCTGTCTGCCAGGCTGAGCGAGGAGCGCTCCAGCAGGGCTGCGTGGAGCTGTCTCCCCCTCAGCTGGCCCTGTCCCCTGCCAGGACACAGGAGCAACAAAATTTGAATTTTTAGGTGCCCCTAGGCATGCCTACAGTACCGAATGGGAAATGTGGCCCTGTGTATCACAATAATTTGGCTTTGAAGATGCACCCATGGATCATCTACATCAAACAATCCAAGTCCCACAGCCAAATACATATTGATAAAAATTATTCTAAACTGTATTGTTAAAAAAAAGCAAAAAACATTGTTCCTAGACTCTTGGAATCAACAGTTGTTCCAAAACTGATGAAATACTAGCGCTAAAGGTTTCATACGCATTTCCAAAGAAAGACATTCTCCCAGCCCTTTCCCCATTCCTTCTAGTATTAATCCAGTTGTTCAAAGAATTTGGGAAGAAGTCCCAGGGAAACAAACAGTTCTTTCTATAAGAGCTATGTTTGATCTTTTGGTTCTTTTTTAACAGAGAATTGTAGCAGTTCTTTTTCTAACCTTTATTCAGCACTATTCTCTTGAATTAAATGTATTGCATTCCCTTCAAGAAATAATTTTGCATTTCTGCTTAACAAAAGCAAATGCTATTTCTGGTCAGATCTGTTCTTTATACAGATATGCTGCTTTCTGTTCATGCTTCCATAATCTTCTATATAGAAGGACAACGTTTGTCCCATTATTTTACTGGGAACAGACATTTTCATTTACCAGTTTCATGATGGCGTCTTCTGCAATCCTCTGGTAACATCAGTCATATGTGAATTTTCAGTAAGTGTCAATGGTTCACTACCTTTGTTATCTAATTCCGTAATATCCAACGATGTGTGTCATATGGGCCTGCTGATTTCTATATTAGTAAAATCCTTGGAAAACTAACACTTCCCAACTGGCCAATTTCTGCCTTTAGAATTAACAAATAAGGGAAGATTTTGCATTACAGCATCTTTAATGTATTATTTGCCCTCTCCCCTCATTTCTTATGTTTGTTCCTTACTTTCTCACTCACATTTTTAGCCTGGGAACAAGATCCCCTTGCAACAGAACTGAGGAAGAGAGCTGAAGGTGGTCTTCTGAGGTCTACTTTGCAAATTGTAGTGTAGGAGGCATTCTGCAGGTGAAACTTCAACTTGGTGGAGTGTGCTGGGGATGGGAGAGGTGGACCCACAGTGCATAATGTTGCATAGATCCTTGGCAGCAAAGCTGCCCATAGACAGCCAGGGACAGGCTACCATAGTTAAAACAAACCCACCAGGGTTATAAGTTACACTGGCTGCCACGTCAGCTCCTAGATCAGCCCAGAATTTGGGAGGCCTAAAGGTTGCTTTTAGCTTTCAGCTGACTGGGGCTCAGGCTGAAGCCTGAGCTCTGGGACCCCATGAGCCTAAGTTAGCTGATCCGGGCCAGCCATGGGGTTTTATTGCACTGCAGACATACCCGCAGAGGCACAGCATGGAATCTCACCCACGGTGTCTTTTCTGAATTCTCCATTAACTCTTTTTCGTGTCTAGAACTTAGTCTTATTACACCAAATTATTTACAGTTCCTCATTCCTCTAAATTTGAGGGACAATCTCAAATTTTAGGGAGGTTGTGGAATCTCCAGCATTGGAGATTTTTAAGAGCAGGTTAGAAAAACACGAATGGTCTAGATAATACTTAGTCCTGCCATGAGTGCAGGAGACTAGACTAGATGACCTCTCAAGGTCCCTTTCAGTCCTATGATTCTATGATTATTCCCTATGTGGGCCAGGTCCTTAAAGGTATAATTAAAGCCCTACCGTATATTGTATTCAATAACTAGCAGTGGTATCTTATGCTATTATTCACATATTCTCAACCATGCATCTTTAAATAGGTCCACATCAACCTTTAAATAGGTCCTTGATCAGTTAGAATTTCTGTTTTGTTTTTTACACTGATCAGTTTAGTTGCATTAGTTACCCAACAAAAATGTGAGCAGAGTTTTGGATCATTGTGGTATTCTGTGGTTTTGAATATCTTAAGAATTGATATAGAAAGTTTCCATTCTTAACTTTCTGCAGTCCAGATGGTTTTTCAAAGACACCTACTATATTTTCTCCCTGTTCATTTTATTATAAGCCAAATAATTTCAGTAACAATTGAATTTACAATAGAAATACAAATAAAAAAAATTAATTAATATGGCACTTAGAACACAATAGCACAATAAAACATGGCATGCAAAATAGTTTGAACCCAAAATAAATTCAAACATCTTGAGTATGAAGGTATCAAAAACAGGAAAAAAAGTGCTCTACAATGTGCTTTTTAAAAAGTAATGTAATGTTTAAATAAATTCCCAAGTTAATAGCCTCCAAGCTGGGTTACAGACGGCTAGCATTTTAACCCTCATCAATACAAGGCATGGTTTTGTGTATTTGTTGGTGGGGGGTATTTTTGTTTGTTTTAAATAGTCTGTTAGAGATTAAGGAGTAAGAAAGAATTGGAAGACTATTGCCCGATAGCAGGAAAATAGCAATTGCTATGCTGGATCAGATTTGTGGCTCATCCAGTCCAGTAGCCTGTCTCTTAAATTAGCTAGTACCAGATAACTCAGAGGGAAGGTTCAAGAAACCCTATAATGGACAATTACATAGTAATTTGACTATAAGAAGTTTCTTCCTAAACTCCATCAGTTAACTGATGGCTTATTAAAGGTAACAAAAGACCTTTCTTCAGCAATTATTATATCCACTAAAACATACCTGTAATAAAAGTTCTCCTTCTAGTAGATGTATGCCTTCTCCAGGCTTAGTTATTCTGCAGCTGTCCTGAATGCCATTTATCTCAGGTCTGGTACAGTTGGAAGATTTTAATGCAACTATGGAAACAAAACAAAAAATAAAAATCAGTTTTTCTTTGAAGGTCTTACTAGTAAGCCATGAAAGTCTAAACTGTAGTTAAAAGAAAACAAAAACAAAAAAACACAATGAAAAGTTCTTACATTTTAATATACTTTGTGTTCGTTTCTATACTCTCAAAGGCACAAAGTGCAATAATATGAAAAACTACATAGATTTGGGGTTTTTTGTAAATGGTATTTATGGAGCAGAAACACTGTGCTGCATGTCAATGGGACTTTTTAAAATAAATCAAAATCTAGTTGTCACAATGGCAGTTTCCTATTGTCTTGTTATTTATTCTTTACTATATTTAAGAGATTTATTTTTCACTTCCTTTACAATATGTATCTTTGCAATATGTGGCCGTTTTCATTTAACATACTATTATAGGAGAAATCAAACATTTTGCTATGCGTAAAGTAAGAAGGCACTTTCATTTTAAATTGGTATAATCATTGACTTTAATTCCCGCCCAAAGTCACCTATCTGGCTTAAAGTTTCCATCTTTATGCTTTCAAAGTATAAATGAATTTAAGAAAATTCATTTAGCTAGTTAGGAACTGTTTTTGCTGTAAAATCAACAACGCTTCCCTAAGCGGAGTCCAGGAGATTTCAGCAATACTACTACATTTATATTAAATGCAAAGAACATTATTACATGGTTTCATCAATGTAAAGCAACAAACACTTCTGTAAAATGAGAAGCCCTTGTTCTACAAAATTCATTTTTAATCATTTGACCTACTAGGCGAACATTTGATCGCAAGTTAATGGATGAATCCTGCAATTATCACTCATGTCACAAGTCCAACTGATTTCAGTGGAACTACTGATGCAAAAATATTAGTGCTCACTATTCTCATCCACTTCAGTATCATACGCTGAAGGCAATCTCATGTTGGCTGTGTCAAATTTCCATCATGTCACCCCTCTTGTCCAACATGCAAATGGGGGTCGTTAGTGTGGGAGGGGGAAAAAAAAATCAATTATTGAGGATGCACGGATTACATTTTCACTATGGTGATGACATTTTGCTTCATTTCTCCGTCCTGACTGATCCAGCAGGAGCTACCAAGCTTACCTAGGCCCCAATTCAGTAGTCCATCTATACTCAAAGCATTTAAGCATGTGTTTATAGGTAAGCACATGCTTAAGTGTTTTGCTGAACTAGGACCTCAGACCTGGGGGACATCATGGCATAAATGAGAGCCAGCTGCCTGAGTCTCTAGCCGGATAAGACAAGAGAGAGATTGGTAGGCTGGGAATAACGGATGGATGACCATGTGGAAATTATATCTGCTGCTATTATTGAGGTTATACATCTGCAACTTATTCCCTGAGTTCATAATAGCAGGTGTCATTCACCCTGCGGAGAGAGTGGAATTCCATGTTTAATTAAGATCTGTGGGCCAGGGTATAAATTTCTAGCTTTCGCATTCATGAGGCTAACCTTCCAAATGCACTGTTGACTTCCCAAGTCTGCAGGAAGAGGGTTCGAGAGAAATGATACAAGGACTGGAAAAACTGCTTTATAGGTGATAGACTCAAGGAGCTCACTATACTAATCTTATCAAAAGAATATCAAGGGGTGACTTAATCAGTCTATAAATACCTACATGGGGAATAGTAATGAGGAGAATAGCATACTGAGGTATAAGAAGATCTAGATTCATTGATTCCAAGGCCAAAGGAATCACTGTGAACATCAAATCTGACTAGCTGGAAGTTACAGCTAGACAAATGCAGACTTGAAATAAGGTGCAAATTTGTAACTGATAGTAACCAACTACTGGAGCAATCTATGAAGGGTAATGGTGGATTCTCCATCATTGGAAATTTTTAAATCAAGACTGAATGTTTTGCTATAAGACATCGTCTAGTTCAAACAGGAATTAATTCAGGGAAGGCCTATATTACACAGGAGATCAGAGAAGGTGACCACAATCATCCCTTCTGGCCCTATAACCTCCAAATCATTAAATGACAGACTGTAGTTTGTGTTTCATCTTATTGTGATTTGACCATCCAACTCCAATCTTCCAGCAAAAAGAAATAAACCTGATAATTCTTACGTGGATTTAAAAGAAAAAACAGAAAAAAAAATAAATTATGCACTAATGTTTACATATTAAAAAATGGAACAAACAAGGGGACAATTAATGTGCTTCTCTGTAATTTATTTTTAATGAAAATCTTCAACAACTTTACGAATAGCACAAAAATAAATAATCCTTTTTAACAATTGGGCTTCAGGCTAAGCACTTTTCTACTTTCATATGAAGCTAAATTGTAAACATAAGCTATGCAAGTGGATAAATACAATTTATAATATTTGCATGCAGGATTCTTTTTATATAAGAAAATATAGAAATATAGAAAATATGTCCTATTTATAATCTCAAACTTCACTGGTTGTCACTTAATCCTGGATTTATCATGCAGTAATAATCACCCTACCATTGCCAGGAATTTTCCAATGCAGTAAACACTAAACCCTAGATGTAGCAGAATGAGGTAGTGACCTTTTATGGCTTTTCTAAAACACAGCAGCTTTATGGTTTTGCGTGCATTTGTCTTGAGTGTGAAACGTGATCTGTTCACGCTCATATCAGCAAATGTAAAAGATATTAACTTGATTCCGTTTTGTACTATGTCTACAGAAGACAGCAAGTTAAATACAGACACTTTATCGGAGAAGCAATTAAAATGCCAACGTTTAGCAACCATAACCTCATCTTTAATTCTAAGTATATGGGGGAAATTGAGTTTAAGTTAGATAAAACTGTGTTGTAGGTAGATGCTGACTTAAATGGTAAATGGCAAATTAGTTTTAAAATCAGACATTTGCATAGCTAGAAGTACTGATGGAAAAATGAACTGGCAAGTATTTAAATATACATGGAGACTAGGTAGGTTCTTTATTTTCACAATGGAATTTCCACTTTGAGAAGCCTTGCTTCCTGGTATATTCTTGTACTGCTTGAGATACAAGAATCTTACAAAATCAAAAGTCAGACACCACGGAGAAAGACATTGCATAAGCTGTAGCCTCAGCTATCAGAACTGTAGCCCACTGGTTATGATGCAGAATAGAGAGGCATGTATGGGGGCTATCACAATTAAAGAGCAGTTGCACTTTTGACTCCTCTCTGATTTCTGAGTACCTGTCCTCAAGTTTTAGGCTCTGTGAGCTGACTTATCTCAGCGTGGAACCCCACGAGTCTCTCACTTATAGACTGGGTCCCCCAGACTACAGAGCTCTGTGTTCCAATGCTGATAACTCACCAGGCCCAAATGGATTCAATACCTGCAAGTCTTCCCTTTGGTAGGTGTGGCCAATGGTTAATACAGTGACCTGAAAGCTTTCATAAAGCAAGTTATTATTTAATCTTAACAGTAGGAACACAGCAAAGCATAAGAGAAGAAGTATTTAAAAAACAATAAAAGCCCTATCTTCCCAGTGGCTTGCCATCCTTTGTAGACCCTAGGGCATCCCTCTTTCCTTCAGCTCCCTGGCTCCTAGAGCAACCCCCAACAACCATTCTCTTCCTCCCTTGACAACGTCTCGTGTCCCCACCAGAAGCCCTTTATCTTTCTTCTCAGGCTTTTGATGCTCCTATGTTTACAAACTGTGATTCTCCCCCTTAACAAATTGGCCCAGTGAGCTCAACAGGAGGTTAGAAGTCAGATATCAAATCAAATGAGTAGAATATTGTCCTTCAAGTGCATAAATAAATGGGTGGCACTCTGAAGATATTGCCCTTGTTCATGCTGACATGCAGCCAATCCCTGCTTGAATAAACTCCTTGTAGTCCTACCATAAACCCCTTACCACTGTCAAACAAGCAGAGCCCTATTCCTAAGTGATTACAAAGCAACTCTACATCTGTCACAGAAGGTTTGAAAACTAACAAGATTTAAAGGCAGTCCAAACTTATGTGATGGTGAAGACCTCCCCCTATACTGTGTGTGGAGTCAGGTCCCTCGCACCAATTTGGACGAGAGTCTAGCAATGCCGAGATGTGTCTCCTTCTGATCAGACCTCTGATTTTGCTTTCACCTTTTGCTTTGAAAATGTTGCAGCTAGATTAGTCAAAGTCTATGCAATGGCAAAAAAGACAATTGAGGAACATGTTACAAGCACATTCAAGACAACATTTGAAGCTGCTAGGTTTCTTCAGTGCTTCAGATAACTTCCTCAAAGGCGCTCTCTCTCTCTCTCTCTCTCTCTCTCTCTCTCACACACACACACACACACACACACACACACACACACTCTTTTTCTTTAAACAATGCTTGTGCCACAAATCACCAGAATGAAGGCTTTACAATACACCTAGAATTTTAACTTACATCACAGAGGGCGTGAGAAAATTTATTAATATTTGCAAAGCATTTTGAAGGCCTTGGATGGAAAATACTATGGATACACACAGTACTATTACACTGTAATGTTCACTGAATATGTGCTGTATCGTGTTGTACTATGGCAAAATTCAATGATGGATGTACCACCTTAAACATTGCCTGCTCTGTACTTTTAATCGGAAGTAACAGTATGAAGACAAACTCCTCCTTGGAAGAATGACCACAAGGCTTTTTTGTTAGTAAAACAGGATATTGATTATTTTGCCCACACTTATGGGGAGAAGATCCATGAAACCAGAAAAGCAGCTTGGTTTGATGGACTGGATGAAAATGAATCTTAAGTTATAAGCCCAGTTCAGCCCCTGACTCTCATGCATCTGGTATGTTTCTGGATCTGTCTCAATTTCCCTTTCTGAAAAAAAAGTGAGAATAAATACCTCTTGGACAGATCTCATCACCTTTGCAGTAGCTCAGACAAGTCATTTTTTGTTTCAGGCTAGTCCTAAATTTGAGGCTAAATACTCAATTTGAAGATAGATATGTTCTTGCAAGACACCAGAAATAACCTCTAGGAATAAGAGAATTGTATGTGTTGAGTGGCTGAAGAAAA